GGATTTAGAAGAGGCCTAGCCTGCATTGAAATTGACTTCTTTCCTGTGACACAAATTTAGTAGTCGGGTTTGATTCTGATAAGAGTCAGGTGAGGTGAAAACTGCTTCTAAGTCCAGGCAGAATAAGAATACCTTTAAAGACGCATAGCTATTTGAAATTCAATGGAGATGTGAGGTTTACTCATGCCATTGTGGAAAATTCAACTATCAGTTCTTCATCAATTTATGCGACCTGGGCTGACTAGAACACTTATAATTTAAGCATAACTTCAAAAATATACTTTATCTTAAGATGAATAATTAAAAAGATCTCGGACTTGAGTAAAAACAGGCACTAGAATATGTTGAATAAATATCAGATCTATAGGCAGCCCAAGGTCTAACTCCCGACAAAAACGAAGATGTCTCTAAAATGACAAATCTCACAGTCCAGACGAGACATCAAGAAAAAGTAGTAAATATGTCTTCCGTCCCTCTTGATCTGGAAACCACAGAGAATCTCAAGAAGGGATTAAAATTTGCATTTCGAAATGAAAGGAACGTAATTAAGGACATTTAAGTGGAATCAAAGAGAGCTGGAAAAGGAAATCACCACAGCAATCTTAGCACATCAAGAATACATGAATAGGAACAATATAAGCAAGATATACAGAGAATTGAGAGAAACGATAAAACAATCCCACAAGCTGGTAAAGGAGGTGCCACTGCAGTGATGGACAGGAAGGAAGATACAGAGAAAATGAAAAATATGTTCGGAGACACTGCAACTAACCTACTGTTAATAAAAAACGCAAGAAATGCTGGGGGGAAATCGACAAATGGGCAATGAACTAACTCATAAGAAAGGATGCAAGAGCCCAAATAGCATGCGATTTTCCGAAGGTACACAAGGAGAGCCATTGAAGTTGGTAACCAACAACAAACACGAAGTAACACATAAGCTAGAGAAAATTATCTACATCAAATTGAAGAAGGTCAATGACAGAGTATCGAATACAGTAGGAATTTGTAGGAATTTTGCCAAATAATCAAAGGCACCAGATTGGAGGTAAACTAATTATTAGTGAGCTTTGATATACAGTCCATCTATACCAACATATCAGAAGAATAAACCTTCACAGCACTACATGAAATCTCGAATGCGGGGGCGAAACGGATATGAAAAGAGCCTGTGACCCGATTAATCAACCAAAGAATGAGAACTACCTATTTCAAGTTCAACGGCAACATCCATGAGTAAATATTTAATTTACTAATTGGCTCACCATTCCAATCTCGGCTGGCTAATGTCTACATGAACAAGTTAGAGGAGAATTTCCAAACGTCACCTCTGCAGTCAACAGTAATTATGCGATATTTGAATGGCTAATTCCAACTCTGGTCGTATGGAAAAGAAAAGTAAGACGATTTCATGCTTTTCTTAAACAACATTGTCGAAAAGGTCGAATTTATAATAAATGTAGAGCAGAACGGACACTTACCTTTCTTAGATGCGGAGATCATTCACTTAGACAAGACTCAAGAAACGGCTGTTCTGAAATAAGCCTTAACTCCAAATCTAACGATACACATGAAATGAAGATTGGAATACTCCGAAGCGTATGAACTAGCGATGTTGAGTTTTTGGAAGAGAAACTGAAAAAGCGAACTCAGATGTTTCGAGGAAACGGATGTACAAAAGAAGCAGTATGATGTAGCATACGGATGGTGATGAACGGGTGGAAGGACGGAGATTATGAAAGGAAAGCAGGAGAGACATAGGAAAAATGATGGATATGACTATCCTACTAAGAATTGGCTCGAAAGCTGCAGTCGATACTATGGAAATAAAATATTCATACAATCCTGAAAAAAAGGACAACCCTCTTCACAGGCTTGCCCACACAGCATGAAGAAGTCAACAAAATGGAGTGCCCCGGAGTTTACTGCATAACATACAAGGAGTGTAAACAAAAACACATCGGAGGGACGGAGAGGACTAATCAGCACAAGAATCAAAGAACATTTGCGACTATGCAGAAAAGTGGATACGGAAAGATCACATTGCCATTACTGGTCGCACAATTGACTGGAATGCAACGGAGAGACTGGCCTCATGTGGGGAGAATATCAGAAAACGGAAGATCAGGGAGGCTTGGACATCCTCTTTCAGACAAACCTGATGAACAGGAGATTAGAAGTGAGAAAAGTCAGCGATAATTTCGCGTACTGCTTGGACAGACTTGGAGATCCAGCGAGGACAGCAAGACGAAGGCGCTTGGACCCAGGAAAACTGTTCGACAACAAAAAGAGACATCACCAAGAAACGGCTCATGAGGAACAAAGAGAAATCAAAAAAGGCGATCGCAATGAGAGGAGTCGAACCTGGAATGAGTCTGAAGTTACCGGTGTGGGTCCATATATAGGATATGAAATTAAAGGCTAGAAACATACAGCTTATACTCCATTTCAAATTCATCAGAGTGTAGAAACCGAGGTTGGCGGCAAAATATCGGCCAGTCCGCAATGTATGTATGCGTGTGTGCCCATGTGCATTTTTTGTGTAGTGAGAGGTATCCGTACAAATGCCTAATTAGTGAGGTTGCCAGCTAGTGCACACAATTACAACTGGCCAGAACCTTATGATTAGGTGGGACTGTCAACTTGAGAGACAAAAGGAGTGTGCTTTACGCGATTTGGAGGTGGAAAAGAGTAGTGCTGCATTTTCACACCAATAGTTTAGAATTGAGCTGGACAAAGGGCCCCAAAGTATGAGATATAATGGGTATGGGGATGAGAAAGAGGATATTTAGGTTATGGGTCTGAAGTATAGGTAGAAGAAGGGGTCTGGGAATGAGAATCGGCAGTCTGAAATCATCGACTATGACTTAGATAGAGGTGCGAATTGGGGGTTCATGTACAGCCAGACAGTGATTTTCATATGCAACAGGGACCAATTAGCAAGCGGGATAAAATAAGGCTAAATGAGAGTGAGAAGTCCTGTCTGTGAACGGCATGTGAAACTGGTGACGAAGGTGATTACGCTCAACTGAATCCAATGAATGCGATACGCTCTTAGGCGACAATGGAAGAAACGAGGGCACTGAATGGTTAGAAAAGGTAACTGGGCTATATGAAATAGGGTTGAGAGAAAGAGATGTGGCACTAGAAGGTAGGACAAAGTGTATGGGCGAGGAGTGACGCCAGAATGGTTGAACAGAAAATTGGGAGGGGATTGTTTTCATTAGTCACTGATAAGTTGTGACTCTGTACTGACGATGGCGCCTTTCACTGACGATGCCTGTGAGACGTTTTTGGTCAGATGCTGGAAAGCACGAATACTATGGCGGAAAACACAGGACTAGGTACATTCCACAAAACCTTCATGCTGCTCCGACCAAGTTGCGAAAACGAGGCAAAACCAACACTACAAAGGTAAAGGAGACTGCGACCAAACAGAAGGCCACACCATCTTAGTCTTCATATGTAAGAGCTACTCAAGTTTGATCCAAAGAAAAAGGATATATGGTTGAATGCAAAGGAGATATAAAGGGAAACAATTTCACAATAACCATATTTACTCACCATTGACGACTATGCAAGCAGATTCTAGTATTGTTGTTATAGTAAAAGAGTCGTTGAGGAAGCTCCTTTGAGTACCTAACTACAGGCAAATGGGGTGAAAATGGAGGAGCTGAGCCATCGATGGTAAATTAAGATGACGGTCACATAATTCTATACAATTTCATTGAAATTTAATTCAAAAGTGCTATACTTATTTGTTAAGATAATCTGTGCGCTATATCTTTGTAGAATATGATGATTATTTTGCCGACCGATATGGTCTACACATTTTCATAAATGCTTAGAGTTAGGTTAATCAGAAGTTGAAGCTTCAGAAATATAATGAAGGCTTTTGACCTCGTAAAAATTTCGCACGAGACAAGATGCATAGACCATATCTTGCAGTTTGCCAAGCTGGCTTTGCATATATGGAGGCTGTCAATAAAAAGTAACGTATTTAGCATAAAGTGGCCAAAAAATTGTGTTCCTTAAACAAGCATTAATTCAATAAATCACAATTCTATTGCATGGTCGTGGTTACCGATTAGTCACAGGGTCAAGCAGTCCTTAAAGCACCAAAATAGGTCTAGAGTAACTAAGTTAGTATCCAAGACGTATTGACGGTCCTTAAAACCACTCAATTAGAAAATAAGTAACGCCGCCTATTGCAATTATAAACACCTGTTCGCTCAATCTACACTCAATAAAATTGTGAATTTGGGAAGTCCTGATTAGTCTTGGCCAAACAGAGGAAAAATTCAGTTAATTCAATAAAATTAGCTAATATAATAATTGCAGCAACATATTTAATTTCATTTTGAACACCAAACGTGACAATAAATGACGCGAATCAAGATAGATCCGCGATCGAGTAGAATAGGGAGCTAAAGGCATCTGAAATGGTCTTGAGAGTCTCGATTGTGCATTCTGTGAACATAAATATAAGGCAATATATACCAATCAAGGACTTTTATAACACGACCGTAAAAGTGGAAGCGTACGATAAAACTTTTTCAGTTTCTCTCAGAAAGTGCTATGAAAGTCCTTTATGATGCAATGACCAAAAGCAAAAAAATAGGGTGAATATATAAAGGGATTACCTCTTTAGTCAACTGTTTTCGAATTCGCATTTTTACCTCCATTGCAAAATCAAGCCATGTCCAAAGACGGTTGTGGTACTCCAATGTGGGAATGTTCAATTCGAATTGTGTGACGTCCGTCAAGTTTTTCTGTTTTTCTCCCTGCCAGGAAAATGACAAAGGCTTAAAATGAAAAATCGAGAACGCATAAAACAGGGATAAAAATAACAAGTCTTTGCTAGGAAGATAACTTCATCATTACGGTTGATAAAGATCCAAGAATGATGATTTTCATGAGGAATCTTATATAAAGATAATTAACTAGTAAAATTGTATTGAAATAAGTCACCTACGGGTTCATGGACCATAAACTCAGCGTTAATCTCAGCATTTTCTGGAGAAACTGGGTAATCATATAATCAAATTTGCAGAAGGGGACTAGTATATAAAGAAAAATTTCTAGCAATGCTAGCTAGATTTATCACAAGTTTATAGAAATAAGCTAAGTAAAACAGGCACAAGTCCACAAAACTAGCAAATTATATTTCATGAACAAGGAGAATTTTTCCAAAATAATTAAAAAGAAGAATTTCAAATAATGTTATATATACGAAGATAACAAAGATAATTGGGTTTCAGTGAATCGTATGAGTTTAAGAATATGCAACTGTGACTAACTCATTGGAGATATTTTTGCTAGTGTTAGTTTCAGAGACTATCAACAATGCTAAACTATCTTATTATTCAAGAATTTTGTAACCCTAACAAAG